CTCTCTTATGATCAATTTCTTTGATTATTCTTTATTTAGTAAAGTTACGCCATTTTGAGAGAATGAAACAATGTACGATTTACTGAATGTCGTAATTAATTAGCATAATTAATTCGTTCAATTATGTAAATCGCACTTCACCCGAGTATACCCGATAGACCGTACGCATTTCATAGCGGTCCGGATTTCTTTCTTTATTAGTGTTCTTAAAAATTTCCAATTCAACATGTAATTAAAGATATGTATGCCGTGTGAAACAGTATTTTTGCACAGCTGAAATCGAACAGAATTTTCCAAAGTACGATAAGCTTTCAAAAATGAAGCATTCTTGCAAATTCGACGAAATATTATTCGGTATTAACAAGGTACTGGTCGGGAAAAGAACATGATATTCTCATGCATATTTATAAAGGACTGACGTTTATCCTGGATCTGCGCATGTGCGCGGGAAAAGCATCGTGAGAATCATCAGGTTGAGGAAAATATTTTTTGTGACGTCTGTTCCGCGAGGAACACAAATCGACCAATCAGCTCAATGAGTTGCATTTAATGCATTAATGGGTTACTACATAAATTACTACATGAGTTTTTCGAAAAGGCTAGTTTTTCAAATGGCTCTCGGAAAGACTTGATGCATTTTCTCAAGCATTTACACGCTTAATACGTTATGTACATTACTATTTACTAATCCCATGCTCATATTTGCATACAAATTAAAGTTTTCCCCACTCCATTGTACAGGTCCGTTTGTTTAGAGTTTCCCCGTGCTGTACTGCTAGTGGACATTTTCGGTTGAGTGAACATTTACAAAATAACGACTACGGATCTTCAGTATGAAGTTCACCCAACCGAAAATGTCCAGTGAAAAGACAATTGCACATGATTATTCCTCGGTACAAAAAGCAACCAACTCTGAGGTGTGCTCACGTATTGACAATCCCTAACTCACATGTTTGTAGTAAAAACATAGAAGACCATCATGCTTTTCGGTTCATTCACAAGATTTGACCATTGTTTGCTGTGAGCATGTGGGACAACGTGATCATGAATATTTCAATAAGAGGCGGTTTATTATCCGACTCGGAGAGAAAATAATTTTTACCAAATAATATTTCATAACTTTTAAAAGTGATTGGTTGGAATTGTCTTATTTGCAGAAAGTATATAACTTATATAAATTGATGAGACACCACATATATTTATTTCTGTTAAAATAAAACATTAATACGGCATATATAGCTTTAAGTATGTAAATATCTAGTGTTTAGTAGTTTATTAGTAGTGCTATTTGTTTTTGTTTCTCTTTTTCCTTTGTTCTTATGTCTTTTTTACTTTTTTCTTTGTCCTGAGAGAGGGACAGGGCGTCCCGAAAATTTGACAATTTTTATTGTTCGTGTCGTTGGTCATTTTGAGTGCTTTATATAAATTTCCATCCGTGACCATGTATCTACTTGGTAGATCCGACATTAAGGATATACAGTGTTGTTGGTTTTTTAGTGCTATATATATATATATATATATCATTTATCAATTTGCAAGTTAATTGATTGATTGATAGATTATATATAGTTTAACGTCCATCTCGAGAATTTTTCACTCATTTGGAGACGTCGCCGTATGCCGTTGAAGGACTTCAAATTTTGACCTTTACCCGGTGTAACGTTGAATTTTGACCCGGGTTGAAAATTGACCCGGGGGTCATTTTTCAACGTTGAATACTGAGACCAAAGGTGTTGAATTTAGACCCTAATCCGTTGAAAACTGAGCCGGTTCGTGGAATTTTGATCATGAAACCGGTTCAAAATTCAACAGCATAAAAACACATATTTATGATTGGGTTTTCACTACTGTGACTTAATTCATAGGTATGATGCCCCGTTTTGGTATTTACTGGAAAAAGTAATATCCCCTATTTGAATAAGAGATATCACCTGTTCCAATAGATGATATCACCTATTTGATTTGAATTTGTGATATCACCAATTCGAAAAGGTGATATCACTTATTCGAATTGGTGATATCGCCTATTCGATTGGGTGATATCACCTTTTCCCGTCGAACAGCTGTAGTTTTTTTTTTTGCTTACAAATTAATTTCTTTCACTTATATATCATGTAAACAACAAGAAAATCGTAGAAAACGCATGAAAACTGGGTAGTCCGAATTTTCTTGGTTCCAGTGGCAATCTATATATTATAGGGATCATTCAGTAATGACTGTTGTAAGAAACTCAAATAGGTAATATCACCTTTTCGAATAGGTGATACCACTTATTCAAATAGGTGATAGCACCTATTTAGCACGAAAAGGTGATATCACCTTTTATTTAAGCTCTCTGACTTGATCACATGATTAAGTATATAACAGCATAAGACTTGAGTTACTATTTATAGAATCTGAAATGCATATTGACTTCATGTTTTTTTTTCTTGTGATCATATGCTATATTGCAGGAGTCCTTTTAGAAAATTTCATTAAAGTGAGTGACATCGATCCCCCCCCCCCTGCCAGGTTTTTTCATAGAACAAGTGTTAAAATGGAGATAATTTTTTGTAAAAACAAAAATAGTATTGATTTCTCAATTAAAGATAATATAGAATATGACTTGATGTTTCTGAAAAAAATATGACTACAACTTGTATTAATATTTTTTAATGTTCCGTAATTGATGAGACGTAACAATGCCTTGAAGTCTTTAATTAGGATCTACATGTACTTTATATAAAAACATATTGGATATCTTTGTCAAAAATTGATACGAGACATAATCAAATAATTAAATTAGCATTCTGAATAACTAAATCCTTTATAATTACTTCATCAATGTATAAAACGAAACACATTTATTTAATAATATTTACATCCACTGAATATTTTCTCTTTTATTTCTTAAGAAACCCCATTGCGTTCATCACTGCATAAACTACAGTAGGCAGGTCGCCTGTACAGATTTCTTAATCAGTGGCTGTTCCATCAATGAAACGTATAAAGACGTTCGCATCATTAATACAATAATTAATCTTTTTAATCCTACTTTAAGTGATTATTTAAACAGATATAAATATAAACAATAAAATGCTTTCTTAGTTTGTTGTTACTGGAATGAACGGTCGCAGCTATTGCAGAAAAAATTTACATAACCCGCTTACGCGGGTTATGTATTTTTTCTGCAACAGCTGCTTCCGTTCATTCCAGTAACAACAAACTAAGAAAGCATTTTATTGTTTAATTAAACAGCAAAAGCTTAATTTATGCTGATCCCTAGTCTCTAAGTCTTGAAGAGAGAAAACTTGTGCCTTATTCCCAAAATTTTCAAATTTTGTTTTGTCAATCTGTGTGATAAAATGATTTATATTCTATAATAATGTGAAACTTTACATTCCTATTTAATTGAGTTTACAACCAATTCTAGTTTAATTTGTCATATTTCCCAGAATGCAATCATGGCAATTATTGAAAAAGAAAAAAAACATCGCATAGGAAATCACAGAGATAAAATTATGTTATAAAATGAGAAGTTTATCGAATAGGAATCGTATTTTTTCGAATAGAAATGGATGCTAGTATGTTTTTGAACAACAACTTTATTGCATATAAACCAAATAATTATCGAATAAAAAAATTATCGAATAGGAATGACAAAATTAGCGAATAGCAACCGATTCTTTTAAATATTAATGACATCGAATAGGAAACGCATGTTTTCGAGAAAAAATTATGTAAATTTTATGATATATGAATCATATTGTCACATTTCCTGTAATTGGAATAGCAATTTATCGAATACAAATTACAAATAATGGAATAAAAATAACAAGTAATCAAATAGGAATCACATTCTATAGAATAAGAATTTTTTAGAATAAAAATAATCTCATTCTCAAGGTTATGGTCCGAAAGCGATCAAGCCGAGACAGTCTACCGACAAATAAGTTAATTGTTACAAGGATTTCAACAATTTATTTAAAGTCAGCATTACTTACATGCTTTTCGCTATATTGCTCTTTTCACAAATATAACCTATCATTGGAATCATTTTGGTTGATGTGTTTCATTCTAATTTTTAGGCTATAAATTTTGTTATTTTTATACTGAATTTGAATGGGATGTTCCGCCCACCTGATCAATATATAAAGGGCTACTTTCTATATAGATTGCAGATTTTAAAGATTTTTGTTTTATGCCCTATTCGTTGTTTTGTAGTTATTTATGGATGCCATGGATTTTGGAAAGTATTGTCAAAAATAAAGTTGTCATGCTTGAAGATAACTAAAACCTTGCAGTGTTCAAAATGTACATGTATACACAGGGTGATACTGTATGTTTATTTCTATTTTTCTTGAAAAGGGAAAAAATTGAAACCGAAATATAAATAAAGTGATACTGATAAAACCCGTAAAACAACTTCCCAGCTAAAAAAAAAATGTTCAAATTTTGAGGTGGGGTCAATATTCAACAGGGTCAATTTTCAACTTGTTGACGTCATCAGGTGTAAGAAAAAAAAATATCAAGCTGTTGAAAAATGACCCCAGGTATAAATTCAACGGCTTTTGGTCTCAATATTCAACGTTGAAAAAATGACCCCGGTTCAATATTCAACGTTGAAAAATGACCCTCGGGTCAATTTTCAACTCGGGTCAATATTCAACGTTACACCGGCACTCAGGGCCATTGAGCAATGAGGGATCTTTATCGTGCCAACACCTGCCGTTGACACGGGGCCTCGGTTTTTAAGGTCTCATCCGAAGGATCCGCAACTTTAACTTCTAAGTGCCGAGCGCATGGCGAAGGAACAGTTTCTACACATTTTTTTATCGACTTAGGTCAGTCACGACCGAGATTCGAACTCACTTCCTCCCGATCATGGAGCGAGTCTCTTCCGACTGAGCTACCCTGAACGGTAATTTGAAAGCTAAAATAGAAAATTTAATTATCATATCATATGTGATTTATATTATTGTAAAAGAAACTACACAATGATACAAATTATATTCTTACAGGTATCAACAACCAACCTAGAAATAAAGCGAGGAAGTTCTGCGACTCTTTACATTACATTAACAATTCCATATGCTGATCAAATCCTTATTACTGATAATCCTTTTCAATTACCAAAACTTGATATTTCTTTAAATCTTCTTAATAAAAAGGATAGATCATTTGATTGCGGTGATGAGACAGATTTAAATATCAATTACTGTGGAATAAAAGTACCCGCTTACACATTCAGTGAGAGACATAAATATGAAACAGATGAATGGAAGAAACCACACAAAATTACAATTAACAACATGGAAGACGGTGATTATAAAATTAACAAGCATCTGACATTAAGGTTAAAGACGGCAGCAACTCAAGGAGACGAGAACTCGCCGAGCAAAATATTTGAAGATGTTTTTTTACCAGATGTACAGGTAATTATATCTGATTATGGATTTTGTTTTTGATTATTACTTATAAGTAGAAGATAAACGAAGCTCACGCTTTTAAAATTTCTAGAAGAATTCAAAATAAATTATTTGAATTTTTACTTTATTTAAATATTATCTATTTTTTTAGCAAATGATATTTCTTTTTTCAGGAATTTTTCTTACAAAAGAAAAAAAAACATTTCATATTAATTTTACCCATGAAAATAAACGAAAAATCAATCGAAAGTAAGGGGTGGGGGGTTAAAATATGAATTTCAATCTGTATTATGTCCTTTTCTCAAATAAAAAAAAATAAAAACACAAATAAATGTCTTTTCGAGAACAATAAATAGGACATTCAACAAATAAAAAAAAATAGTTGGATAAAAGCTGAACGTACAGCTTAACGCGCTTTTTAACACCCCTACTAATATGTTCGGAACCTTTTACTTTTAAGTTTTCTGCAAATTAAAAAAACCGATTAGTTCAGAATAGCTCTGACAGTGGCTCTGGCGAGAGTTAGCGAGACTTCAGTGAGATAGGGTAAATTTATTCACAGAAATGTGGCTAGGAAGTGTCTAGCACGTGGAGACATGGTAAACAGAAACGTTATGTTGCATTTAAATTTTCACCACCCTATAATATCATTCTGTAGTGTGTGAATGTTCCTCAATCGATTTTTAGCTCTTCTGAGCCAAAGGCTCAAAGAGCTAATGCTATGGCCATTTGTGCGGTGTGCGTAAACTTTTTATAATATGGGCCATAACTCAAGAACCCCATGGCCAATCAGTACCAAATTTGTCACAGGGTATACTTGGCCCAAGGGCTACCATTTATACTAAAATAAGGGTTGGGACCCTTAAACAAGGGGAGATAATCAGGAAAACAAAACCATAAGTACTGATTGCTAAAAATTCTTCTTCTCCATTACCACCAGGCAGATTTTCACCGAACTTACATACAAGAATCAGGATATGTCGAAAATTAAAATTTGCAAGGGGAATTACCCTGGGGCAAAGGGCGTGGTCTCAAGGTCACTTCAAAGTTGACCTAAATTTACAATTAATAAAAATGTATATATATATATATATATATATATATATATATATATATATATATATATATATATATATATATATATATATATACGGTGACCTACTTTTTAAATTTTGCGGGGATTTGTTTTCAAATTGATTTGAAGGCATATTTTGGACACTTTAAGACCTATGATCATCAAACTTTGTCAGTTGATGCAGTTTGGGTCTTTGAACAATGCGAACTTAAAAGTAGGTCACCGTGACATACTTTTTGAACTTTATGACTTATCCTTTTAAAAACATTAAATTCCATTATTTCAGACACTGGGAGGTTTAGAATCATCAAATCTTGGACTTTGATGCATCTTGGGACCTTAAAACTTATCTATGAAAAAGTAGGTCACTGTGACCTACTTTTTGAATTTTGCCGACATTTGTTTTCAAATTGTTTAAAACGCATATTTTGATTACCTTCAGACCTACGATCATCAAACTTGGTCAGTAGATGCATCTTGGGTCTTTGAAAAATGTCGACCAAAATGTAGGTCATGATGACCTACTTTCGACAATTTATGGCTACATTTATGTACCTTAGGTATTTATTGGTTTAGAATCATCAAACTTTGTGAGTGGATGCAGATTTGGTTTTCGGAGAGTGACGACCAAAAAGTAGGTCATGGTGACCTACTTTTGACATTTTATGGCTTTATTTTGGTATCTCCGGTGCTTATTGGCTTAGAATCATCAAACTTTATGAGTTGATGCATCTTGGGTTTTCGGAGAGTAACGATTAAAAAGTAGGTCATGGTGGCCTACTTTTGACATTTTGTGGCTATAATTAAGTATCTCTGGTACTTATTGACCTAAAATCATCAAACTTTGTCAGATGATGAATCTTGGGTTTTCGGAAAATGTCAACCAAAAAGTAGGTCACAGTGACCTACTTTTGACATTTTATGGCTATATTTAAGTATCTGTGGCACTTATTGGCTAAGAATCGTCAAACTTTGTCACATGATGCATCTTGGGTTTTCGGAGAATGTCGTCCAAAAAGTAGGTCAGGGTGACCTACTTTTGAATATCTCAGGTACTTAATCGCTTAGAATCATCAAATTTTGTCAGTTTAGACACCTTGGGTTTTTGGATAACGTGGACCAAAAAGTAGGTCACCATGACCTACTTTTGACATTTGATGGCTATATTTAATTATCTCTGGTACTAAATGGCTAAGAATCGTCAAACTTTGTCAGATGATGCATCTTGGGTTTTCAGAGAATGTTGACCAAAAAGTAGGTCATGGTAACCTACTATTGAATATCTCAGGTACTTATTTAAATAGAATCATCAGTATTTGTCAATTAATGTATCTTGAGTCCTCAGAAAATTTCAATCAAAAGGTAGATTATTGTGACCTACTTATGGTATTTTGTAATTATATTTTAATATCTTCAGTCTTAACTGGCTATATATTATCAAACTTCGTAAGTTGATGCATTTTGGGTTTTATGATACTAATAGACTTGGAGGCTTCTAATAGAAATGATAGATTGTACAATTTATCAGAAGAGCGATTCAAGGCCCTTGGGTCTCTTGTTCATGAATTCTTTCAAGTTTCAATTAAAAGTATTCTCTATGATACAAATTTCTGCTGTTATGAATTAAACATTCTCTTTGAACAAATATTTTGCATACTATATTTTGAATTCTGGTTGAAACGGTACCTGGTGAAAACGGCACCTGGATTATGCAAAACGGCACTTGGTGAAAACGGCACTTAGTGAAAACCGCACTTGGTCAAAATGGCACTAGTATATATGCAATGATATATATATATATATATATATATATATATATATATATATATATATATATATATATATATATATATATATATATATATATATATATATATATATATATGTATAAATGGACTCTCCCAGAAAAAAAATCTTTATATATACTCACACACAAATATATATCAATATATCAATATATATCAATATATATCAATATATATATATATATATATATATATATATATATATATATATATATATATATATATATATATATATATATATATATATATATATATATATATATATATATATATAAAGCACTAAAAATGACCAACGACACGAACAATAAAAATTGTCAAATTTTCGGGACGCCCTGTTCCTTCCTCAGGACAAAGAAAAGAGTTAAAAAGTCATAAGAACAAAGGAAAAAGCGAAACAAAAAACAACTAGCACTACTACTAAACTACTGAACACTATATATTTACATACTAAGTTACATGTTGATTTGGAAATTTTTAAGAACACTATTAAAGAAAGAATCCGGACCGCTATGAAATGCGTCCGGTCTATCGGGTATACTCTGGTGAAGTGCGATTTACATAATTGAACGAATTAATTATGCTAATTAATTACGACAATCAGTAAATCGTACATTGTTTCATTCTCTCAAAATGGCGTAACTATACTTGATAAAGAATAACCAAAGAAAAATAATATAGAAGGGGCATTTTAACATATAAATTATGATCTATTATAAATTTTAATTTGAAATGTTTTAGGACTGATTATCGGTAAAAAATAATTAATAATTAATTAACAAAGGCGTAAGCAATACATAGTTATGTGGGTTGTTCGAGAGTTGGTGACGCAAATTAACTGTGGAGTTTACACTAAATTGAGAGAATAATCTTGTTTGGTATCATCAGGAATCGGGTCTAGTTTACGTTCATTCTGGTGAAGTCATTCAGTTTGTTAATACCATTGGGGCGGAATGACTTCAATCTGTGCATCCAGAACTTTTCTTTGCTTTTTCTCTGAGCGTCTGTCCATCTTGGGTTATGATCAATCACCACTACTGTCATGTCCTCCCATTTGTGACCCTCAAGGTTGAAATGTTCCCCAACGGGTTCATTGAGTTTTTTGGTCCTAATGGTCGAACGGTGGTTATTGACTCTCCTGCGGAGATCTCCTGTTTCACCAATATACTGTTTGGAGCAAACTTTGCAACTGATGAGATAAATGCAGTTGTCAGTATGACAGGACAAACTTCCTAGTATTTTGTAGCTGCGGCCTGTAACAGGGCTGTTAAAACTGTCTGTGTCAGTGCATCTGTTCGTCTCCTGGCTTATATCAGGAGCAAAATGGTCTTCTTAAGTCCCACCTATGCAAAAGAGGCTACAATGCCCGCAACGTACAAACAGCTATTGATGAGATGGCGGGACATGACAGGCAAAACCTATTACGCTACAAAGAGAAAGAAAATAGCGGTAGGGTCCCTCTGGTAACCACATACCATCCCGTCCTTAAGAACCTAAGCGGTATCCTTCAAAAGAACCTACCAATTCTCCATTCAAACAAACGAATGGCAGAGGTCTTTAAGGAACCCCCATTGGCTGCATACAGACGCCCTAGGAACCTAAAGGACATGGTAGTAAGAACCAGACTGGACAACCCATTACCTAACGGGGGCTTTAAGACTTGCTCTGACAGAAGATGTCTTCTTTGTAAGCACAGCACTGACACAGACAGTTTTAACAGCCCTGTTACAGGCCGCAGCTACAAAATACTAGGAAGTTTGTCCTGTCATACTGACAACTGCATTTATCTCATCAGTTGCAAAGTTTGCTCCAAACAGTATATTGGTGAAACAGGAGATCTCCGCAGGAGAGTCAATAACCACCGTTCGACCATTAGGACCAAAAAACTCAATGAACCCGTTGGGGAACATTTCAACCTTGAGGGTCACAAATGGGAGGACATGACAGTAGTGGTGATTGATCATAACCCAAGATGGACAGACGCTCAGAGAAAAAGCAAAGAAAAGTTCTGGATGCACAGATTGAAGTCATTCCGCCCCAATGGTATTAACAAACTGAATGACTTCACCAGAATGAACGTAAACTAGACCCGATTCCTGATGATACCAAACAAGATTATTCTCTCAATT